TTGTGAACTTTGTCAAAAAGTTTGTAAACATTGCAAACTTTGTACACTTTGTACTAACATTTTGTAAACTTTGTAAACAACTTTTAGATGTTGTAGGCCTTCGTAAACTCTATTTAAAAAGACGTTATAGACTTCGTAACACTTTGCAAACTTTGTAAAACGTTTTTAAACGTCGTAAACTTTGTCAAAACATTGTAAACATGTTGAAAGACCTTGTGAACGTTGTGAAAACTTTGTAAACTTTGAACACTTTGTAAATTTCCTAAAAACTTTGTACAAATTGTGAAACTGTACAAACTTTGTAAAATTTTTGTAAAATGTAGAAAGAAACTTTGTAAACTTTGCAAATAAATAAACTAGCAAAACTTTGTAATCGTTGTCAAAACTTTGTAAACTTTGTCGAAACTCTGTAAACTTTGCAAGACTTCGTAATCTTGTAAAATTTCCAAAATCTTCAAAACTTTGTAAACTTTGTAAAAACTTTGCAAATTTGCGTAACAAAAGGCAAATGTCGCAAACTTTGTCAGAACGTTGTAAACTTTGTAAAAACTTTGTAAACTTTGCAAAAACTGTGTAAACGATGTAAACTTTGTAAAAACTTTGTAAAACTTTGTAAAGTTCTGTGAAAGAAGTGTTTTTGCACGATTTTTTGCTTAAAAAGAAGTGTTTTTCATGTCATTTGTAGTAAACACAAGTGTTTTTCACCAGCCATTTGTAAACTTTGTAAAAACTTTGTAAACCTTGTAAAAACTTTGTAAACTTTGTAAAAACTTTGTAAAAACCTTGTAAACTGTGTAAAAACTTTGTAAACTTGAAAAACTTGTGTAAACTTTGTATAAACGTTGTAAACTTTGTAAAAACTTTGTAAACATGAAAAAGCTGTTGTAAACTTTGTAAAAACGTTGTACAACTTTGTAAACTTTGTAAAAACTTTGAAAATGGTGTAAACACTTTGCGAGACTTTGTGGACTCTGTAAAAATTGAAAAACTGTGTAAATTCCGAACTTTGCAAGAACTTTGTCAAATTCCAAATCTTTGTAAAATCGTTGTAAACTTTCAATACTGTGCAAAAACTGTGTAAACTGTATAACTTTGCAAATTTTGTGAAAGCTTTGTAAACTATGTAAATACTGTGTAAAGTTTGCAAATGTTTGTACACTTTGTAAAGACGCCATGTAAAAATTGTAAAATGTGCAATCTTTGTAAAACATTTTATAAACTTTGTACAAGGTTTGTAAACTTTCAATACTTTGCAAAACTGTGTAAACTTTGTAAAAACTTTGTCAACATTGCAGCAACATTGTAAAACTTTCAATACGTCTTTAATTGATTTTTAAATGGTAAAACCTTTGTAAACTGGGTAAAAATTGGAAATTGTTCAAAACTTTGTAAACTGTGTTAAAATATTGTAAACTTTGTAAGACTTTGTAAACTTGGTAAGCGGTTGTAAAACTTTGCAAACTTCATAAAAATCTGTGTAAAACTTTGTAAACTTTGTACCAACTTTGAAAGCTTTGTAAAAACGTAGTGAACTTGGTATAAACTTGGTAAACTTTGTCAACACTTTGTAGACTTTGTAAAACATTTTTAAACTTTGTCAAACTTTGTAAGCTTTGTCAACCTTTAAACTTGTAAAACTTTGTAAGAACTTGGTAAAACTTTATTAATACGTTGTAAAATTCGCAAACTTTGTAAAAAGGTTTACCAACCTTTTACGAAGTTTTGGAGTTCTTCAAATTATTCTTCAAAGTTAGAGCAACGTTTTACACAGTTTTTAGAACGTTTACAAAACTTTATATTTTTACAAAGTTATACAACGTTTACAAAACTTTCACAAAGTCTTAAGAATTTGTACAAAGTTTGCAACTTTTGCAAAGAGTTGACAGAGTTGTTGAATTACAAACAAATTTACAAAGGTTTACAACGTCTACAAAGCTTTTACCATGGCCGTTCACTCACCACTCACGAGACAAACAAACCTATGAAATAGTCCTTTGGGTCTCGTATGTTGCCACTAACAGCGCAAAAAAACAAGACGTGTTTTATACCCTCTCTTAGTTCTGAACAGCCAATTCTTCAGAGGTCCGCAAGGGTCAAAAACACTTCTTCTGCGCTAATTCCCCCGAAACAACGAACGACGGTCCCCAAGCAACTTAACATTAACATGCAAATCATTAAACGCATATTCTCTACCACCACACTTTCCTGCGCATGCCCGCGCAGATTTCTCCCACCTCTGAATCGATCCGAACTGGACTCATGACCCCAGCCTCTTGATCCTCTTGCAGATTTCTTTCCCTCTACAGTGGCTTCAAAACAGTTGGCTCAAACCCAAGGATGCCTTTGATATGGGGCACCATATCAACCACTGACCTTGGGGGCCCTTGTGCCATCTACTCTGAAAGCATCTGAATCCACTCGGATTTCTGGTCGGGTCGGAGGCCTCGCCTTTCTGGTCGGGTCGGAGCGCCAAGCCGTAGACTGCGCCGCTGTGGGCCTCCAGCGACTCTGAAAGCCTTGGAAAGTTGGAGCTTTCGCCTCCTAGGCATGGAGGTCTCCTTTAGGGCATGAAGAACTCAAAACACCGAACACCTGCACCGAACTCGGAACAAATGTTCCGTGAATTTCGAGGACGTGGGTGGATGTAGGTAGGAAGTGTCGAGATTGAACATAATGGTTGATGGGTTTTGATATATATATATATAACGTATAGTATAATATCATCACTATATATATATATGACATATGTATTGGAACTTAATATTATATGATTTTATATGTTTTGATGGTTTCAGACTCGGTCTGGTTCTTGGCTTAGATCCACCATTCCGGAAGTCGATAAGCCCTGCCTGGTGGATCCAAGCAAATCCTCAAAAGGTAGGGACAACCCCCGCATCGCATCCACCCCAACCACCCTTTTTCTCAAAAGGTACTTCTTGGAGTCCTACCAAACGGTGTGGTGAATTTCACACAGCTGGTTGTTTCCCGAAGATCCGTTTGGCTCTACCACCACTGCCTGCCGGGAAACTCCCCAATCTGGATGTCGTACAACTCCAAGCTTCCCTCCTGCGCAGCATGCGAAGCTTTTCAACACAAGCTCCACACACCATCCCAGACACTCCATGTATGCCATATATGCCTACATTGGGGTGGTTTTGGGGGTCAATGTAGGTCACCATCTATATTAACCTTTCGGTGAACGGACCCCAAACTGGTTGATGACGATGGTGTTCTGCCGTGCGAGCAATGACGAGGTTCGATCTACCTTTGTTACAGCCCAACGGAAACCAGTGCGGCAAATATACAAATTTGATGTCTCCAACCAGTGGCTCACATTAATCCAATTATATACACTATCACTATGCATTTGTGCTTTGGGGAAAGTACCTTTGTTGAGGCTCTGTGATAAGATTGTCTGGGACTCAGGGGGCAATGCAATATCTTTTGTCTATACTACATACATGTACATACGCACATGATGGCACATGTGTTTTGCCTGCACAAAGCCTTCAAACCAACCAATGCTGATTCAAAGGCCCGAATACAAAGTTAGACGTTAGACTGGATACATATTATAGATCTCACTTAATGATCTATATGTGGTAGTTGTAGTTGCAGTCGTGTGGTCGTGGTTGCAGTTGCAGTTGCAGTAGCAGTAGTAGCAGTAGTAGTAGTCGTCGTACACAGTAAGTGTTCTTGACTGTGTTGTTGCTGGTGGTGGTGGTGGTGGTAGCAATTCGCAATGTCTGCCAATCGTTTGATGAATCAAAGGGACGGCCCACCTACAAATCCCAGCCCCCTGCTGCACACAGCAAACGCTGCACAAAGGTCGTTAGGAAAATGTGACCGTGTGAAGCTCGTCAGGTCCCGAAGCCGCAATACTACTGCTTTCTTCTGCTTCATAAATGGCTAAATCAATCCTGGATGGGCAGTCAGCTCTTGATCCATACAGGGCTACATGTTCGGGCCTCGATGTGCGCAGCATGGGTCAAATCGCCAAAGGTCACTGTCACAAGTGCTTCCAAAGATTGGGAAACACTATACAACTCGAACTCAGAGTAACTCTAATATACACACATGATACACATGTTACATCTTGCTACAGTACTATACTTGATCTAAAAAGGAACAAACCTGAAAGACCACCCCGAAAAAGGACCGTTGGTAAAGGGCGCTGGACGATAAACGAGTGCTCCATCAGCTACGGCATGAAGGAAGAACAGGCCAAAGTTGACCAACACTTGTTATTGAACAAATGAGAAAAGAGGGAAGAATGAAGAAGGAGGCGGACAAAAAGAGGAAAACACAGAACGCAAACAAAGGAGAATAAGAAGAAGAAGAAGAACATGAAGAAAAAGAAAAGAAAAAAACAAAGAAAGCAAACAAAGAAGAAGCAGTGAGACGAAGAAGACAAAGAAGAGAAAAAGAGTGGGATGACGAAGAAGAAGAAGAAGACGAAGGATAAAGGGAAGAAAAAGAAGAATAACAAATTACATATGAGAAGAGAAGCAAACACATGCTTTGGTGGCACCTGCTGCTGCATGAATTCACCCTCAAGCCAAGTGACCCAGTTGCCCAATGGATAAGGCGTCGTCTTTGCAAGCTGTGTGGCCCTTGGCCGCACACTGCTTGACAAGCATGGAGTTGGAGGTTCGATTCCTCCCTGGGTCGTGTCCTCTTTCGAAGTATTCCACTGCGTGCTTCATGCCTTGCGGCTTGACACCATCAATTCACGGGTCCAATCAGGCAGCCAACACCGAACCGGCACGATGTCAAACACGGGCAGGTCACGATGCAATTCTGCAGTTCTTTTCTTCAACCTTGGATGCTTGGAGCCCACCGCTTGCGCTTTCAACTATTGAACTCAGAACACCGGGTTTTGTGGAAGGACTGTGGCGGAGCCTGTATGACTCTATAAAGACCCATAAGACATCATAAGACCCTGGAAAGCAGGCCCCTTCACCTGAACAATCTGAACAGTTCAATATGTTCAATCATGTTCAGTTCGCACATCCGTATACACATCCCACGCTCTGCACTCGTTCCACATCGTTCTCCGCGCGCGGTTTCGGGGTTGCGGGGTCCTTGGTGCCGATGAGCACGTGTTCGTTGCCCGCGAGGAAGAATCCGCACAGCCCGTAGCCGGACCTCGAAACGAGTTTGGACAGGGACTCTCTTCGTGGAGAGCCGGTCATGCGATCGTCCACTTTGCCGAACACCTGGTGCGAACGGAGACAAAATCATGACCATGCTACAAGCATCGTCCCAGTTGCTCTGGCTCTTCGAGATGTCCGCTTGTGTTCATAGTTACTTTCGAGAAGCCGGCATGCTGTGAAAAATGTTCCATTTCTCACTTGCCAATGAGGCGGATCATGGCCAATTTGCAGTAGCAAGGCAAACACATCAAAAAAAGGAAAACTTCAAGAAAAACAAGGTCCTAGCCTCCCAACATCTTCCAACTCAACCACTCCCCATACTCCTCCACCTCTCCCCATACGTAGCTCCAAGGTGCGGCAAGGTCCGCACGCAGCGGCCCGTGGAAGCGCTCCAAATCTTCACGGACTCCGAGCTCAAAGACATAAACCTCGGCAGCTGTCCGTCCGCTTCGGCGGACTTGTTCGGCGGAGCTTGGGACTCAGTCGAAGTTGGGAGGTTGGTCTGAAGAAAAGAAGGAACACCAGGAAGGTTGGGATGAGAGGGCCATGTTATGTCACGTTTCCTCTTTTGATGCAGTGCCTCGTATGCAGCCTGCTGGAGCCTCCTACAAACCCTTGCGAGGTGTGAAGCCGTATGTCTTAAGGAGATACTCCCCTAGCACTCCAACCAAATTCTCACAAAGGAGTCAACCCTGCAACCCCACTCAAGTAGGCCAGGAATCCTACATAGTACCTGTAGGTGTAGGGTTCCGAAAACAGTGCTGTTGGATGTCTCCCTACTTCTCCCTGCTACGCCACGTACGGCGTAGCTCTCCCCGTACTACGCCACGCCACATGGAATCGTCCATGGCCACCGCCAGCGCGCGGACACCGGTCCGGTGCCCAGCGAACCTGGTCACCGGTCGACGAACTGTTTACGGTGTCCGGCTTCGTCTCGGTGCCGTGTGCTACAAAGGTCATGCAGGTCATGAATGCAAACAAAAGGTGACATGTCATGTCTGACATGTCACCTTTGGTTCAGGTGCACATGAGTTGGGGATTGATTCATCTCTACTGATTCTCGGGCGCCCGGCTCCAACGTGGGTGTGGCTGTCAGGAGAACGCCTGCACCCTCCTCGCTCGACCCGAAGGAGCGTGAGGCTCCGTCATAGTGGCTCGATAGGGTTGGAGTCGGAATTCAAAAGGATGAACAATCTATATATAGAAGTCTGGGCAAAAGGTGGAAGCATTGGGGTTGGTTCTTCTGAACCTTGGCCTACTCTTTCAGCCTCTCTTCCCGCATTGGCATCCTTTTCCAGGGCAATCTGGAAAATACAAAAACAAGTTCTTCTAGAAGAGTGAGAATCCAACATGTCCGTTCGTCCCTGAAAGAATCCATCGTTACGTACGTGGAGAACGCATGGCCCCGAAGACTTTGGATGGCCATGAAATCATCCGAGTACCAAAGAGGTGGCGAATTCACTCCACAAAACCATGATGATTTCAGGGAGTGTACATCCGCAAATCTTCATCTCCTGGCGATTCTCCCATCCGCATCCCCATCCGCCAACTTCTCCCCTCGTCCTCACTAGCAGTGATTCCTTAGTCTATCAGCGGGCAGTCTTGTTGCTCGAAAGGCTATGCCCCTCTCACCCGGCCATGACTAGAGCCGGGGAACACCACAACATGTCGGAATACCGGAGCCTAGGTGTTTACTTTGGACCAGTGACCACCACTTTTAAACTGAGCCCACTGCCCCAAGCCCAAATGGAAGCCTTGTGACCTGGTGAGAAATTAAATTGTGCTAGCAATGGGATTTGAATGGATTTTAGGTTGGTTTTGGGTTTCTGGCAGACTTCAATATTAAAACGTGATGCACTCTGATATCCGTGGGAGGTTCGCTTCAGAAGCTTGTCAAGGATAGTTTCAAGATGTTTCAAGATATTTCAACTGGTACCTCAGGGTGAAGGTTGCTCAGCATTCCACTGGTTGTCCCTTTGGAATGGCCCTTTGGAGTTTTGCCAGAAGCCCATTCCCTAGCTTTGTTTTTGTGTGGATGGAAAGAACACATTCAAAGATCGCAGCTTGGAAAGCGCCCGCTCATTTTTTCTGCTGCTTGCAGTACAATGTCTGATGGGTCAACTGAGCTGTTTCGCTGTTTCGCTGTTTTGAAGTCGGCTCCACTTCTCGCGGCTGTGATGTTTCCGACGCCATCTTGGCAGGCTCGACCGGCTTCGCTGGCTGTATAGGGGCGGCGCTGGAGGCGGCCCTGGAGGCGGCCCTGCTGAGGCCTTGGCGGTGGCCCTGGTGGTGGCCCTGAAGGGGGGCCTAGCGGCGGCCGCTGTGCGGCTTTGATGGACTTCCCGCGCCAAGATTGCGCCAGCTTCACGTTGATCGTGGTCCTCACTCACTGGCAGTGCATGATGTGGTTCAACGAACGCTTCATAAATCTTAATTTTAATGATTGAAATATACCACAATGAAAAGCAATGCTCTTCAATGCTCTTAGACTTAACCAATGACATGCTAAGGCGCGCGTGTCTGCTGACGCTGGCACTGTCATGCACATATCCACGTTCTCATAGTCCACGAAGTAGCAGCCCGAATCCTGACAATCCAAAGTGGCTGGCTGAGTCTGTCTTCATCCATGGAAATTTAAAGAACGCAACACACTTCACAAGTCGCAGAAGGAACGCTCACAGTGCAAAGCAGCAGCAAACCCCGCCTCATTGCCGCCAGCCTTGCAGATCTTGACAGGATCAATTGGCAAAGCCAAGGTGAGCAGCCAGCGCAGACCCTTCTCACTCCTTGGGTCGACTTGCAATAAATAGATTTACTGACAGGATTACTGACATGTAAATGCCATATTCTGTAATGATGAGTCGCCAACAGGATGATTACAGAATGACAAGGCTTGCAGAACACACAGCGCAACCAAGCAGCAGATCCGCCGGGACATTGTCCACCCACAGCCGGTCCGATGCCAGGAACTCTTCGTTCTGCGCCTGCATCTGCGGCGTTGGCCCTGCTGGCCACAATCCGGCAAGGATATATACCTGGGCGAGCATTACTTCAGATCAAGCAATTTGAGATGCTTTCAGGAAGTGTCAACCATTTCAATGAGATCAAACAGGACTGACTGAGGTCTTGGCAGGCCTCTCTTCATGACCATCTCTGCCAAGGCCGGCGTCTGGAACGTGAGGGTATACAAGGTCCCGCCTGATTCAGGGCCTCAGACAACAAAGCGAGTCACAATCAACCTACCCACCCACACATTCACACAAAGAACTGCCAGCAAGGGGCTGCTTTTGCTCCAAAGTGATGGCTTGATCCTCCCAGCAGCGATCAGCATTTGGAGAAGGAAGCAGTCCTCTCCCGCCCGCCATGGCGCGTGCACCTGCACCACCCGCGAATCCATCTTCATGGCCTGTAAGGCTTGCTGTTCTGAATTATAACCTTATCATGTTTTATGTCTGAGACGCTGCGCGATGTCTCTCTGACATATATATCTGTTGCGACGTGTATCCATGCATAGTTTGATGACTTGAACTGACTTGACAATCTTGATGCTGCATGAGCTGCATAGTAACTGGTGGTCAGTGGTTGCTGCAGGTTTGACATGCCATTGAATTGAGTACAGTACGCAGCAAGCGCCAGAGTGGAAGAACAATGATAAACTCAGCTTTGCCCACGCCTGCTGGAGTAAAAACAGCAGCAACTGAAGGCATCCAACCTCAGAGCGTTGCCATCCAATTCCATTCAGTTAAAGAGTGAGTGCTGGCTGAGCTTGAAGCAACCAGCATTCAAGCAGCTCCTCAACGCTTTCACTGACAGCTCACTACTATGTGGATTTGCAAAAACAGCCCTTTGGAGTCTTCACCAATTAGCTAACCTGCAGTATGCCAGGACACAAAATATATCAAAATATCATGCCAGTATACCAATGAACTACCTGATTGGACCAAGAAACATACTTCAGGAGTTGGGATTGACTCGGGCGCGAGATTCTCAACCTTGCAAATGTCAATGTCAGACCTCAGATGACAGCTGACCATAGGCACAGTGCACCATAGACAAAATCTCAGAACTCAGAAAGTCAGAGCACAAAACGCAGAGAACGCAGAACACAGACAGTCAGACCAGAAACAAGCCAGTCTTCAGCAGCTTCATCTCCACATTCTTCTGCAGCTTGTCCAGCACCTGGGAGGTGTAGAACTTTGTATCGCATTGACCTCGAACAATCTGCAATCCAATGCCCAAGCTTCAAACTCAAGAAAGCAAACTAAACTCTGGCTTCACTTAGTTGGCCATTTGGATTGGCCCCTTGGTGTTTGGCCAAAATCAAGAAAACAGTGATTGCTTGCGCCCTGAGTGGTTGATCGCACTAACTAATCATATGACAAAGCACCCTCTGTATAGCACCAGAAGATTGGCTGCAGGATGTCAACGACTGTGTCCAAATGCTGCCTTGCCAAACAAATTTGGGCTGGTGGGAAGTCTTAAAATTGTCCAGGGTGTTACTTATTTGCAGCTCAGTAGCTCTAAGTGAAGTGGGACGGCTACTAAAATCTCCATGGCAACCAACCCAACCAACCCTGATCAAAAATTGGCTGCATAAGGCCAGGGCGTAAGTCCATCACTGCTGTCTTGATTTTGACCAAACACCAAAGGGCCAAACCAAATGGACAACTAAGCGAAACCAGAGTTACCAGACTCCAATCCTGATCCCAAACAAGACTAAACAAGGCGACCCCCTTTTCACCGCCTTTTTGAGGGGATTGCCTCACCCATTTCGTCCCTTCCTCATCTCCCGGTCACATCCCATCTATGTCAAGAGACGAACCGACTCCAAAAGGTTGTTGGTAAGGCCCAACAGCACGGTCTTGGTCTTTGGGTTCCACGCCATGGACAAGGCCTGGTGCTCGAGCAGAAATGCCAGTATCCAGACCCTATGGATCCACAGACCCTCTGAAAAGGTGATTGGAGACACTGTTGCTATGTACGAGTAGGTTTGGAGGGTCCAGTTGTACCTTCTGAGAAGGTGCTTGGATCCCTAGGGAGAGATGAAAGCACGATTCCATTCTATGGACTGGCATGGCTCACAGCCGGGGTGCAGCTGCGATACACTGGCGTAGGGAAAACTTAGGAACTTAGGGCCTTCATTGGTTGAGCCACGCCCAAAACTGTTACCCGGACGCTTTCTGCCACAACAGCTGTACAACACCCAAGTCCTTTTGAACTGAATGATTCATGTATGAATGACACTCTTGTCCAACTGGACAAGACAATAATCTACAGCGCAAAACACCCGTTTCAGACTAACATGGAACTTTCCCAACCCTTACACTCCACGGTGTAGGCCATATAGAAGGGCTCCTGGTTTCCATGATTGCTTCGTCCGGGCAGATTTGGCCAACACGGCCTTGGCACTGCAGCGGTGGGTCTGCAACGGTGTGATCTCCTTGGTGGATCGGCGGTCGTCCAGCGAGCCAAAGAGTGTGTTTCACCCCGCGCCACCGCGCCACGTGCCAAAAAACCTGGTCAATGCGAATGTGCCGCACTCATCATCGTCTCTAATACGTTATATATGGGTATGCCCTGTATGCTCCGGACCCTTTCACAGAGAGAAAAAGAGACAAGTTGAACAGCAAGCGCCTCTCTCCATTCAAGTGGCATCAGCAGCATGAGAGCCTTCCGCATCCTCATCCTCCTGGCTGTAGCACAAATCCCCCATCCTAAAAATCAACAAAAAAAAGATATAGTAACCTCACACGCAAAAAGATTTCCCTTCGTTGTTAAAGTTATAGGTTTGATGCTTTTACAGGCATAATATAGCCCAAACACTCCATGTATGGCATATTTACCTACA